GATAACGATAGCAGAAAATAGCTATCGAAACGTCAAGGTAATTTTTCAAATTTATTTCTCTACTAATTGGAATTTTCTCTTACAGCTTGAGCCTAAGTGTGTCGCAGGATACCCTCTAGGTGATAGTTCTTGATTACTTTTTGATAAATAATTCGTTCTTATTGCGAAATAGGAGCACTATTTATCAATCTGTAATAAAAGACGTGAGAAAATTCTGTCTTTTTTAAAGACAAAAATTTTTGAGGCGAAATACCCAAAAAGAAGTTTGTAAAAAATGAATCCGCCTCAACAATATAGAACTTATCTATAAACGCCCTTGCCATAATAATGAACTTCCGCGATTTCACTTAACCAATTAACATGCAAACAAAATAACAGATTTAGAAGACAAAACAATGTAAAGGGTCAGAAAGGCCGATTGAGTCGATAGCCTTTTTCTGCCAATCCACTGCCAGACCACTCAACCAAAATTTTTGGGTCTCGTCCAATGCATGATGCCCAAAAATCGATATACCAATGGGCAATTCAGAGATCGACGATTTCAAAATTTATATGAAGTTTCAACTCTCCACAGACTTAGCTGCGTAAATTATTTATTAATTCTATATCATTTACGTGTCTCCTTGTGTATTGTGAATCCTTCTAATAACACGGAAGCTTCACATGCGGCTGCCAGCTTAATTTGACTCGATCAAAAACGATTTAAATAAAAATGCGCATCGATTTATTGCACTAGAAATAAAACATCAGCCACGGAAGTGCATATTGCATTACACGTTACACGGTGGTCTTGATATAAGTCCGATTATTTAAAGGTTAGTTATTTAACAATAATCTTAAAAATATGTTTTAGAGCTTTGGTCTAGTTTATTTTTGCTTGCCTTGTTCCAGTTTATGACTCTTAACTTATTTTAACTATCTTACCATAAGAAAGCTAGTGCTTTCTTAGTGTCTTTAAACTCGAAAGTTTGCTCCTCAACCAACTTAACTTAGCTCATTTTATTTTATAGAACAGATGCAATAAAACCGTCTTTAAAATAACAACGGAAAGAAAGATTCCATCTTGTACATATTGTGCACTAGAGGCGATGGACTATAAGTTTTCACTGAAATTGAACAAGTCAAACTTATACAATTCGCTAGTATTTATAAAATTTTTGATAATTTGGTCAGGTGATCAAATAAATGAGGTACACTGTACATCAAGTACTTCCAAAAACTGTATGATTACTAAAACATTACTCAAATGAGTAATTTCTGCAAACAAGATATTTAGTACTAAATTCTATCCAATTATTCACTGTAATTGCTCCCAGATTACACGTTTCCAGCAACTCATCCGGTACGGATTGCAATTGCTCATAAATGAAAAACGTCTACTAAATTAACGATATTTAACACAAATCTATTGGTTTCAGTGAGCTTTCCAATCCTTTCATTACAGAACTAGACCCCAATTTAAAGTTCAACCTTTAACCAACCTAAAATTGAGTTAGCCTGCGATTTAAAGGAAATAAAAGGTAAAGTTTAAATCTCGACGTGCGCTTTAATTAGAACTTTCCCACAGTTTGAAGTAGTAATCAAAGCTATTTGGTCGACCAGCGGAATTACTATTGAATCCTGATTGATATCGAGATTGGTAAGTACTAAATCTACAGACGAATTTTCATGAACAATAAGAGATAAATCAAAATTGCCTAAGTCCATGTGGAAAGAGGAGCTTTGAGAGGCTGAGGTATATTATTTATATAGCTGAGTAGTATTGCCATTAGAACCACAACATGAATTAATGGACAAAGTCTAGAGCATGGTGCAAATTGGAAACTTTTATATCCAATCTTGGAGCTAATGACATGCCGGTAAATAACTTCAAATTGAATAATGAAAAATATTTACTGACTGTAATCAATTGCAGAAGAAACGCGCTAGAGATACTTTTCTGGACACAATTGTAAATAGACACTTATTAATGCAGAATAAATCATCACGATAATAGTGAAAAAAAGCCACTAAGTCAGGCACAATAAGCAAATGTTGTAACAATAAATGTTTAAGATAATGAAGAATGTTTTTCATTTTTTTATGCTTTTCAGCTGAGTTAAATACACAGTGAGAGTACTTTCAATATTTAATGCTTTCCAATAAGCCGTTCCCAATTGTATAAGTACGATAGTATAGTTATAAATAGGTAATCTGGAAATCACGGTACCCTAATTCCAAATTGAAGCAGAAAGGTAAATCGCTCATACATTCCACTGAATTCTACCCCAAGACCTAACTTTATCGACCACGAGAGATATAATTAATTGATAAAATCCCTATTAAGGGTGGTGGAGATTGGCGGAGAATKTATCCATCTAATAACTATAAATCGGTTATTATCAATACTTAAATTGACTGAGTTTTATGCCAGCAATAARCAAAACATTTASTARCAATCGAACGTASACTWAWWWGYCAAAGCAAGAACTGGAATCATTKAGACAGCWAGTAGCAGRTACACTTATTASCA